ACCCATATAACCGCCACTCAGAGAAGATACAGAAAATGTCCTTCACCTCAGAAAATTCCCGTGTGTTCTTTCCCTTTTAATAGCCCATAATCCTCCTTCCTGTTTCCAGAATTAACCACTTTTCAATTTGCAGCACCATGAATTAGTTCTATTTTGTATTTCATATACATGCTATTATAGAGTATGTATTCCTTTTTGTTTGGCTTCTTTCACTCAAGGTATTTTTGAAATCCACCCATGTTGTTGTGTGTACTAATAGTTCATTCATTTTATTGGTGTTAATATTTCTCTCTCTTTCTTTATATATAAAAAGCACTTCTTTATCCATTCTCTTTTGATGGGCTTTTAGGTTGATTCTTGAATATTATAAGACCAACATTAATTTTCTTACACAACTATTTTTGTAGACAAATGCAGTAATTTCTGTTAAGTATATACCTAGCAGTGGAATCACCAGGTTAAGGTTAAAGGTATGTTGAACTTTAGTAGAAAATGTCTATTTCCCAAAGACCTCTATCATTTTACACTCCTACTAGAGTTAAGGAGAGATCTGTTTGTTCTCCATCCTTACTAACACTTGCTATTGTTAGTTTCTAATTTTATCCATTCTGGTGATAAATATTATTTCATTGCAATTTTAATTTGTATTTTTATGATAAATAATGACACTGAGCATATGTTTATATATACATAAAATGAAGCTTATTGAACATATTGATATTACTTTTTACCTTTTAATTTTTTTCCATGTCTGTTCAAGTTTTTGACTGTGTTTTGAATTGAGTTATCTTTTTCTGATTTACTTATTGGAATTCGTTTTTCTGTTCTGGATTTAAATCTTGGTCATATTTCCCCCAGCCTATTTCTTGCCTTTTTACTTTCTTAATAATGTTTCTTGATATATTTTAATTTTGAAATATTTTAATTTTGATGATTTAAATTTATTACTTAGGTTGGGTTTTACTGAGCTTTTTGAATATGTATTGGCAACATTTTAGCCATTATCTTTGCTAATATTTTTTGCTTTTTTTTCTCACATCTTTTTACAATGGTTCAACCTCACAATATATATTAAATTGTATAATGTTGTCCACATATCTCTCATATTTTGTTCTGTTTTTATATTATTTTGTCTCCATGCTCCACTTTGTGTAATTTCTTTTATTTTTTAAAGAGTTACTTTTTAAAAACATTTTATGTATTTATTTTGTTGCGCCAGGTCTTGGTTGCAGCAGGTGGGCTCCTTAGTTGCAGCTCGTTGGCTCCTTAGTTGTGGCATGCAAACTCTTAGTTGTGGCATGTGCGATCTAGTTCCCTGACCAGGGATCAAACCTGGGCCTCCTGCATTGGGAGCGCAGAGTCTTAACCACTGCGCCACCAGAGAAGTCCTCCACATTGTGTAATTTCTACTGCTACTAGTTTCCTGATCCTTCCTTCTGCGGTGTCCAGTATACTGTTAAACTCATTTGACACATCCTTAACTTACATTATTGTAAATATCTTAGAATGAATTCCTACATTATTGTACATGTTGTAGAATATCCAAAATTTCATTCCTGTTTAAATTGTCCATTTTTCATGTTAATGGTTAAGCACTCATTTTTTAATCCCTACGTCTGATCTTCTGTGTTTTGCATCAGTTGACCCTTCTTTCCCTTATGTTTTCTTTGCATATCTTGAAATGTTTTATGTATACTGGACATTGTGTATAAACAAACCATAAACCTATGGAGGATATCATTTCTCCCTAGAAAGGGCAAGCAGCTAGGATGCAGGCCAGATCACTTCAAGCAGGAATTTATTTGAACTGGGGCTTAGTTCTAACTTTACTTAATTTGGGTTAACTTCTGGTTTCTCAAAACTTGATGTCAAGATTTATTTTCTTTTCTAATTTCCAAAACCAGTATGGCAGTCTTTGTCCTGTATGTATTGCAACATGCAGGGCTTTGGGATCTAAGCACTGAGAGGGTAATAGCTGTCTGCTTTTCCACTGCACACTGGCACATACTCAGCTAAAGCCCATGGCAGAGAATCTGCGAGCAGAGAGAATAAGTTTTGAGTTTAGATGTTCTCCAAATCCCTATTTACCACATCAGACTAGTTGATCATTAAAGTCCCTGCTTGGTTCCTTTTCCCCCTCAAGAGTTCCTCTGCCTATGACAGGACAATTTCCCGCCTATACTTAGAAAATATCCCATGCAGGTAAGCAGCTGCCAATTTCTGCTAACTTTCTGAGCACCAGTTAGTTTAGACTCTTTTGCATGCAAAACTCTTAAGTGCCTTAAAAAATTCTGTTATTTTAAATAGGTTTTTCTAGGTTTTTTTTTTTTACAATGAAGTAATGGCTTGCCATGCTTTATATATCCAATCCAGAATCTGAAATCCCAGTATGTAGTTTTAATTATTGCCCAAATTATTTAATTTTTATCAACTTTCTTTTTTTTTACATTTGGTGTGTAAATTCTATCTGTTTCTAATTTGGAAAAATATAGTCCTGCTCCTTACCACAGTGATTATAAGCAATAAAACTGAGTTAGGACAAAAATATAATTAACATGTTTTTAATTTCAAGGAAATAATTGAAGAGGAGAAGAGAAAAAAAATCTCTAACTATAAATTACAATGAGACTAACTGGAATATTAACTTAATTTGGACTCAGTTTAATGCTATTCCTTCCAGATCTGCCATTTCATGTCATAGCAGTGGCTAATAATTGAAAAGAATGTAGAAAAATAAATGTAGTATCTACTTCTTTTCTGCCAAAGCAATGACATTTGTTTATAAAGAAAGCAGAAGGAGCAACCTTAGTCCACAGCACTATGACAGTGACCAAAGCAGACAGAACTGAAACAATCAATTCAGTGTTTTTCCTGCATCAAGGCACCCGAGAGGCATGTACGTGCCCCGCTAAATGGATTTCTGGGCTACAGGGAGATCAGAACCTTTAGGCTCAAACTGATTTTTGCTGTGATCATACAGATTTGGTTAATAATAAGAAGGGGCTATTCGGCTTCAGGGCAGATTTTCAGATTGTTAATCACTGTGTTGTTTTTCTCTTTAGAACTGTCATATTTATCATTTGGCTATGTCTCTTGTGTTGATGAGTTTCTGATTTCTTAGGGGAAGTGATTGATTCAGAAAGATCTTAATCAGCATGCTACTGGCAGAAAATATATTTTTGTTATTTAAAGAACATTTATTGAGTTCCAACTTCCTGAGGCATAGCATGTTCCTATGGGATATATACAGCATAATTTAAAAATGTTTATTTGTTCTTTATGACCATATTAACATGCATTCTTGAAGTAATGTGGAAAATGTCAGAAAGCAACAAATCCAGGACTTGCCACAATTTATTACAAAGGGAAGATCTGAAAATAAAATGGTTATCTATGGTTATCTTCATGTTTGGTGATGAGTTGTTTAGGAAATCAGAATTGAGTCCTAAGCTTGGTTTTGAAGGAAGCATTTGAGGATGAGTAACAGTGAGGTAGGGTTGAAGATGACCATAATTACCAAAATATACATGACAATGTTATTTTAATAAAGATTAGTTCCTTCTTAAACATTGAAATATTATAAAAGTAGACACTAAACAGATAAAGACCAGTTATGTAACTTCTTATACCCTATTAAAATAATAAACACTCTAAACTAACCTATATTCCATTTGTTTTTTCCCTCTTATTCATCTAGAATTTTTATAGCAAGGAATTAAGTGTTTGGTTAATAATTATAGCCTATACAATTAATTTCACAGCTAACTGCAGATTTCCAGTTGAAAGATTATTTATAATCACATAATTTTTAAATATTTGGACTTTGAAAGAATAATGCTGAATGGAAAATATATTGGGAAATAATGAACAAATTAGGAAAAATCATCAACAAAAGTATATTCTTAAGAAATTCTGGAGAAACACACTTTTTAATGTCCTATTATAAACTAATTGAAATATCACAGCTTACCCATTTGATTTCAAGAGTTCAACTCATTTCATTTATTAATACTATTGTACAAAGGCTCATTTTCGAGCACACCAGCATGCTGAGGCCAGCATCTCTGTCATGATAAGACATAAAAATCTCTCCCTGATTTATCTGATTACACATTTTCCTAAATTCAAACAAAACAACAACAACAACAAAAACCTGGAAAAAAACTAGATGGAAATCTTTTTAAGAAAATGTTTTGGTTCATAGGCCAATTTTGATTCATAGACCAAGTTTCAAAACAACTACCTATACTAATACTACTGTTACTATTGCTCCCTAAGTAATAATTTGTCTCTATTGGATAGTAGTAACTTAGTGACTTTCTGAGTCATTGTGTTTCTATTAGATATGCCATTGTCACTGTTTATTCACAAGTAGGGTCTATTTTATCACTGTATCAATATAATAATAAAGAGTAACAGAAAGAGATTGTCCCCACCAATACAAAAACTGGGGTAGAAAATGTAACTTTTCTCCGGACGCAGCAGAAGGGGGCACGAACCCGTGTCCCGTGCATCGGCAGGCAGACTCTCAACCACTGTGCCACCAGGGAAGCCCGTAACTCTTTAACACACAGTGAATGGTATGGTGTTCATGATGTGAGACTTATTCCTGCAAGTTTTACTCTTTTTTTTTTTTCTATACTGTATATCAAAGGAAGTCCCTATAGGTAATATCTTCCTTCTAATAGGATTATTTATTGCTATTTCAGGTTTCTCCTTCCTTTTGGAGAAATGACATGACCGTTTTCCCAGGTCCTTTGTATTCTTACATCCCGTATTCAGCCTTTGTACTGCTGTGACTCCCCAAGTAATTGCTGAGGATACTAGTAGGGAGAGGACAGTGCAGCAAGCCCAGAGTGTGGTCTTGAGACCAGGAGTGTGAAAGGGATATTGTAAGGAGCTTATGCATTGTAAGCCAAGCTCTTAGATTCAACTTCAACAGTTTCTGACAGTTTTGACAATGAAGGAGTTGCTTGACATTTCCTTCTTGGGCACATAAGTGCCAACTCTCATTGCAGGTAGCTAGTGATTTCAAGAGCTGCAGAGTCGAGGCTGAAGTGCTCTGTCTGTGGAACATATCTCAGGTGAGAAAACTGAAGATCAAGTGGTGTCAAACAGAAATGGCATTCTTCTGTAAAAGTTTGGAAAAATAAGTGAAGATATTCTGAGTAGGAGTGTATAAGGATGAATTTTGTAGGAATAAACAGCCGTGGAACTTATAAAAATTCAGAGGATTCAAAGAAATGATTCAAGGGATTCTAGCACCTGGTGGGAATTGCAAAAGATTACTTGTAATTTAATTAATTCACATAACTTTGGATCATTTTCGAGATTGAAATTTTAAACCTAGAGATTGGAATTTAAGTCTATTTAATTGTTCACTTTTGAAAGCACCTATGTCCAAAATGGATCCCATTTCTAACCACATACGGTTATAGTGAGTTGGACAAAGTATTTGACCTCTTTGGATCCCAGTCATAACATATGTAGACTAGCGGTATTTATGGTAAAATTACTTTCACTGAATAAATGACATTATTTATATAAAGAGCTTAGAAAGTACCTGCTGCAAACGTGCCCCATGCGCATTAGCCACCAGTTTTATTATTAACCAAAGCATATTTTGCATAGTAAGCATGGTTTATATACTTTATACACATTTGCAAATCAGTGATTGGCAGAAGCTCATATAGTGTGTTTGTTTTGATTTTGAGCTTTGTGGTTATTTGAACACACTTTTAGACCTAAGCTTCCTAAGTACATAGATGTTAGAGACTCATAATCATATGAAGTAAAATATATAAAATGTGGTCTGGCAATAATTCCTCTAGTCCCTTTCTAGCTATATGTGATTCAAAGCATTTTCTGTCCTCATTTGGTTTTCAGCATATGATGCATTTTCAGGAATTCAAGAGGTATCAAAAGGAGACAAAATGTATGTTAGGACTCAGGCATTCCATTATTCCATTATTTCCAAGATGAAGGAGCAAGAGAATGGAAATAGAAGATCACAGGTAACTCTCAATCATGAATTTCATCATCTCAAAAGAGGCACAAAACAAAATTAAAGTTTTCAAAAAGTAACACAAAAATGCCTGGAGGAACTCTCTTTGCTAAGAGAACAATTCTTTCCTGAGCATGGTTATTAACAAGGAAGACATTTATTAAGTCTTACAAGAATAGAGGCTAAAAGCTACCAGTCTCATCTGGGGTCATAAGTTAAAATACCATAAATCAAAGATCTCTGATTTCTGATAACAGAAATTATGCATCAGTAAAAGATTCACTCAAGCATGGGTGTAACAGCAGAGGATGCAGAAGGTCTCTTGGGTGCCACTTGAGAAAGCAGCTGGGCTATATTCTGGTTCTCTCTGAAGTTTGTTTTCAGGCAAGCACCAGATGGATTGCACATTAGATGCGATTTCATCTGGAACATTTCCTGATGTCATTGTCCAGAAGTTTTCCTAGGCATTTTTACTACAGCACTCTTGAGCTGGAATTCCTGATAGGAATAAAGAAAAGGGTTTTTATAATTTCTATATTGATGCTGGAAGCTCTGCCTTTCTTTTTTTAAAAATTATCTCTTTCAATTACTTTATTTTGGGAGTAGAACATAGAGTATTTAATAGGTTGGCATTGTGTTTAGAATTTTACTATAGAAACTAAAATAACAGCATCAGTTATAACAAGATATTTATTGCTTGGAAAGTGATGGAGTCAAACGGCATTGATTTCTGGCATAATGTACTATGACCCTCATCCATCTGTTCAGGACCTGATGCAGAAATCAATATATTCTCTTCCTGGGGAAGCCCAAGGCATTCTCTGCATTTAGACATAGGGCTTCCAGATTGCTAAAGTGATTAAAAAATAATCAAGACCTTCCAGAAGCTTCACTTTCTATTATACTCTAAAAAGTTTCCCCTTAAAAAGAACTCTTTCTGATCAAATTTTGTTATTCAGTTTATTTCTTTCATTTTTTGCAATTCAATTATTGTGCAGTTATAGTGATTATATCTCTTGAGACTCCCAGCTGAGTTCAAGTAAAAGTGCATTTGTAGACTGGTTTAAAATCTACCACTAGTAAAATGTGACTCCTCTTAACGTATCAATAAATACTTATGGTAGAATATTTCAAGGTTGTTAGGAAAGTGTGTCTGACCTCAGTTTGGGGCAGCAGGGGGGCATTTGTATTGCTTTAAGAAATAGTCTAAAATCTTACAAATTTTGATATTGTTATCAATGTATCTAAAGTTGCTGACTTTTTTTCCTTGGACTAAAGACAATTGTTAATTTACTAACATACTAAAAAAGTTTCAAAAATTGTATTCTACTACAATAATTTTATGATTGCTAATGCAAAAACCTGAGAATCTGAAAGTAGCTTGTGTTTCAGCAGTTAAAAAACAAAGCAAAAAATTTTCACATAATTCTGAAAGGACTGTGTTGGCCTGAATCAAAGAAAAATTGAAGTTTCATTGAAAGTGGAAGAAAGTGGTTTTCACTCCCTCATATGGTAAGGTCATAACAGATTTTATTTTCCTCTCTGACCTAAGTGGATATCAGGAACATGATTTTGTGAATGCCGGAGACAATAATTACTGAGGGACCTCAGCCTCTTTCCTATTTATCTTTGCTTCAGGTAATTTTCTGTCTTGGTGTGGTTTTCAGTGTTTATATCAGGGTTTCTAGAAAAGTCATTATGCAAAAATATATGGTTGAGGAAATAATATTAATTAAAGTGCCAAATTCTTTGTGAATAGATTTACAACGATCTTTGTATTTATTATAGAAACCTTTGAAGAAAAAAATGTGGTTATGTAATAATTTATGTAAATATTATAAATAGTTCCATTCAAATAAATGATAACCCAAGAAAAATGCAGAATTGCCTATGATACAGACGCTATTTCATGAGTAGGTCACCTTTTTGAATTAGCATCTATCTCACTGTAGTGTCTATCAACATCACTATAACTCCTTACATTAAAAAGGTTAGTATATACTTGGGTATGCTGCTAGTAGTCTGAAAGTAGATATGGTAGGTTATCATTATTTGCAGTAGTTAAGCTTTATGAAAGAGTGCTGAACCCTGAATTAATGACTGTTGAATCATTGCTTCTAGAAGAAATACAGGGTTAGGTCCCTCACACAGTTTTCATCAACAGATCAATGCATAACCTCATTTTGTGTGTATTACTGTTTAAAGACACTCTATTTATGTATATTATTGATCCTCTAACACTGAACTCACAGCCAGCAGTGCTATAATTCATGCCTGAGTGAAGCTTATCCCACATGTTTTCTTTTCTTTTCTTTTTTTATAATGCAGTTTTTTTTTGTTTTCTTCATAAGGCATGTCACAGCCTTCTTGAGCTTAGAAAGACTAGACAGCACTTCAGCATTACACTTTGGGGATTTTAAACAGCAAAATCACCAACAAAACCCTCAAATATGTGAAAAACATGGCTCTAAATTGACCACAAAAGGATACTTGTTTACAATGTAAAAGCTAAAAACAAGGCAGAGCATTGCCTTGTTTGATCTCAGCTGGGAATGTATGTGTTAGGTGATTCAAATTTTTTGCTGCTCTGTGCATGTCCAGAAATGACCTGAAAGTACCTTGAGTATTAATTTTGAGGTTACAAATAACTTTTAGCAAGTAGGTAAATTCACAAATATGGAATTTGGAAATAATGAGCATTGCATGTAATCAGATAAATCTTAATAGTTTTTATCCCCACTATATATCAGGTCCTGCGTAGAATGCTATCTTTATACTTGTAATCTGAATCTTACAAGCAAAAGTTTCCAATGTGGCATTTTGTTATGGAAATGAAAAGCAAGGATAACAAAGATTCTTACTTTACCATATTGCATTTAGTGATGCTAAATGATTGAACCCTAGTTAATCTATCTACTAAGCAGTTAGAGAAAACTTTCTTACAAAAATTCTTTTAATTCAGCCATACTTTTAGAGTACTGCTCAAAGATTTTGGTTTTATAAAGGTGAATATACACTTGAGTCAATGAAAAACTCAGTGGGACATGAGAAGCTTGTTAAAACAAAGTGAAAATTGCCAGAGCTATGTATCTTTTACTAAAAATAAATAAATACATAAAGTAATGCACATGAAAAACAAATAATACGAGAGTTTTTTCACAGTTAAGTTGCTACTCCAAAGCTGATCAAATTAATAGTAACTAAAAATTGCTCCCATCTGTTTAGTAACTGATGCTTAATCTGTTGATGATATAAATTCTCTGCCTAGTGGACAGGTGGCAGGGAGTTAAAAGACCATTTGTAAAATGACCTCCATTGATTCTAATTGCCAGCCTTGAACTAGCCAAGAGTTGAACAAGAATAGGATCCATGTTAATTTTTTCATAGCAAGATTAAAACATATTGGTGAGCAGGATCTTAATTCTTTTCAGTCTTCCTACAAATATTATTCGTTAGACTAAAATTTTGTAAATGATTTAGAAGATATACAGTGCTGTCTGTGGATTCAGGCATTGCACACTGTAGACATCACTAATTGTTACTAAGCCAAGAATTGTTTATAAGCAATCCTATGCTTTGTAGTTTGGGTGAGGAGTGGGGTTTCTATTTAATCATAAATACTTGCTTAACAACTTTAACTTGTACAGTATGAATTGATGATCCAGTTTCAAAATTTTGAATGCAAAATTTATATAAGAATTACAATACAGACTTACATTTTTAAAAACAAAAATATTTAGCAGTTGCTTTTATATCTTGCAGTAATTTTGAGTTACAACAATCAGTTTCATGGATCTTGCAAATACTAGTTAAGTAGTTAAAGGATTTCAGTTTGCCAGGGTAATGAATACTTTAAATGCAATTTAGATATGTGCTATATATAGTATACATGTATAAAAGCTCATCCAAACTATACTATAAGAAAGAATTCTCATTTTAAAATGTTGTAACAGCAAAACATATGTAACAAAAATTAAAATATCAAAAATCTATGACCATGCTCTTTTCGGGAAGAGAAAAAACTTAAATTATCTAGGGTCTTTCTTTTCCATTGGGATAGGATTGGCAATAGTATTCTGTGTCTGAAGATCAGCTCTCCTTTAAGTCTTATTCTGGTGAGATCAGTTATCACAAATAACCTGGCTCAGAATCTCATCCTTCTCACCTGCTATAGGTCAGAGCATTTGTGTGTTCTTTCCTAGACTGATATCACTATTTATTTTCTTTTAAAAGAAATTATTTATTTATATTATTTATTTATTCTTGGCTGCATTGGGTCTTTGTTGCTTTGTGTGGGCTTTCTCTAGTTGTGGTGATTGGGGGCTACTCTTCGTTGTGGTGCGCTGGCTTCTCACTGTGGTGGCTTCTCTTGTTGTGGAGCATGAGTTCTAGACACGTGGGCTTCAGTAGTTGCAGCATGTGGGCTCAGTAGTTGTGGCTCAGGGCTCTAGAGCGCAGGCTCAGTAGTTGTGGTGCACGGGTTTAGTTGCTCCATGGCATGTGGGATCTTCCTGGACCAGGGCTAGATCTCGTGTCCTCTGCATTGGCAGGTGGATTCTTAACCACTGTACCACCAAGGAAGCCCCAATATCACTATTTCTGATTGAGAAACTTAAATCTAAAAACCATAAGAACTGCCTTCAAAGTCCGGGTGACACTAAGATCATGATCAACAGAGTCCCCATTAGTTCTTCATTTGAACAATCACACTAAAACTTCATATCTTCCTCTGTAAACCTCTAGGACTCGGTGAATCAATACTTTGCATTTAGCCATTTCTTGTCTCACGAAACTAACTAGGGGAATTGAAGATAAAACTTCCCACATAGTTCCTAATTCATCTCTATAGTTTGATCAAATTGAACACTTGAAAAAAGACTCTTAGAAAAGTAGAAGAAAGATGGAGGGACACAAACCAAAATGAAGGATGTGAGACTTCTAGTTCAGTTCTGACATGTGAAGAGCTTGAAATTGTTACTCTTACAACAAGAAAAAGCAGGGCAAACTGAA